TTGTATGAAATTCATTCTTTTAAATCTGTGTTTTATGGTCCGAAAATGGTCTACCTTGGTGAATACTCCATGTGAGCTTGAAAATAACATGTATTCTGCTGTTATTGAAGCAATCTCTATTTGTCCATTATATCCTGATGACTGATGGTGTTATTGAGCTCAATTATGTCCTTTCTGATTTTCTGCCTGCTGGATCTCTCCATTTTTGATAGTGTTGAAAGCTTCAACTATAAAATGTGTTCATTTATTTCTCCTTGGAGTTCTATCAGTTTTTGCCTCGTAGAATTTGACGCACTTTTTTTAGGTACATCCACAATAAGAATTGTTATGTCTTCTAGGAGAATTGACCCCTTTACCATTATATAATGCCCCTCTTTATTCCTGATACTTTCTTGCTCTGAAGTGTGCTCTGTCCAAAAAATCAATATACCTGTCTTTACTTTCTTTTGATTAGTGCCATCATAGTGTACCTTTTTCATCCATTTACCTTTAACCTGTAAGTCTCTTTACTTAAAATATAGGCAACATATAGTTGTCTTATTTTTGATCCATTTTGACTTCTGTCTTTTAATTGGTAATTTAGACCATTGATATTCAAGGTGATTATTGATATATTTGTATTAATATCTACCGTATCTATTAGTGTTTCCTATATGTTGCCTTTGATCCTTGTTCTTACTTTTACCTTTCACTCTTTTTCTGGCTTTTGTGGGGTTTTTATTGTGTATGTGTGTGTATATATATATATATATTTTATTGACATATAGTCAGTTTAGTCAATTTCTGGTGTACAGCCTAATGCTTCAGTCATACATGAACATACAATATTTTCATTTTCTTTTTCACTCCAAGTTACTACAAGATATTGAATATAGTTCCCTGTGCTATACAGTATGAACTTGTTTACCTATTTTATGTATATATTAGTATCTGCAAATCTTGAATTCCTAATTATGGTTTTAATTGAGCATTTTATGATTCTGTTTTTTCTCCTCTCTTATCACATGAATTGCACTTTTTTTTTTTACCTTTTTAGAAGTCAGCCCTAGAGTTTGCAATACACATTTACATCTAATCCAAGTATACTTTCAAGTAAAACTCCACCACTTCCCAGGTAGTGCAAGTACCTTACAATAACAAAATAATCTTAATTCCTCCATTTGGTTCTTTGTATCATTGCTGTTGTTCATCTTGTGCATATACCTATGTATTGTTCCTATTATTATTTTGAAAAAATTATGTGCTAGCTTAATCTAGAAAAACTAAAGTTTTTATCTTCACTTGTCCCTTCTCTGATATTCTTTATGTAGATTCAAGTTTTTTACCTTTGTAATTTCCTTCTCCCTAAAGAACTTCTTTTAACATCTTTTGCAAGGTGGTCTACTAGTAACCAATCCCTTAATATTTGTTTGTCTGAGAAAGTCTTTATCTTTCTTTTCTGAAGGATTATTTGCAGGGCACAGAAAACTGGGTCGGTGAGGTTTATTTTCCCTCAACACTTTAAGTAGTTCACTCCACACTCATCTTCCTTGCATACCTTCTGAGCAGAAGTCAGATTTAATTTATTTCTCTATGGTAAGTCCCTTCCCTCCCCAGCTTCTTTTCTTTCTGGATTTTTTTCTTTGTCCTTTCTCCTCTGTAATTTGAAAATAATGTGTCTGGGTGAAGTGGTTTGTTTTGTGGCATTTACCTTGTTTGGTATTCTCCAAGCTTCCTGGTTCTGTGGTTTAGTGTTTGGCGTAATCGGTATTCATTATTGTTTCAAACATTGCTTCTGCTCTTTTCTCTCTTTTCCTTGTGATATTTCGATTATCCACAAGTTACACTTTTTGTAGCTGTTCCACAGCTCTCGGGTATTTGTTTTTCTTAGTCTTTTTGCTGTTTGCTTTTTGCAGTTTAGGAGGAGGTTACTATTTAGATAGCCCCGAGCACAGAGATTCTTTCCTCAGCTGCATCCAATCTGCTAATAAGCTCATCAAAGGTATTCTTCACATCTGTTACAGTGTTTTTGAGCTCTAGCATTTCCTTCTGGGTCTTTCTCAGAATTTGTATCTCTCTTCTTATATTGCACATGTGTTCATGCATGCTGTCTAATTTATCCATTAGAGTCCTTAGCATATTTAACATAGTGGCTTTAAATTCCTAGTCTGATCATTCCAGTATCACTGTCATTTTGGGTTCTGGTTCTGATACATGCTCTGTTCCATCCGTATGTGACTTTGAGTATGTCTTATTTTTGCTTTTGTTTGGTAGATGGACATGATGTACTGGATAAAAGAAACTGCCATGAGTAGGCTTTTAATAATGTAGTGGTAAGTTGTGGAGGGAGAGAAAACGTTGGCATAGTGCTACAATTAGACCTCAGTCTTTTACTTGACCTATGCCTGTGAACTGTGAGCAGCACACAGAGCTTCTCATGCCCACCCTCCCTCAGGTGGGACAGAGGAGCTTCAGTGGGCTGGAGTTGGGTATTTTACTCTCTCCAAGCAGAAAATTAGAGCTCATGGGGTTACTTTTTTCCCAGGTCAATTAGGCTCTAATAAAACCCCAGCAGCTTAAATTCTGATTAACCAGTTTGTCCTGAGGGCAGGCCTTGTTAAGAACAAAACGCTCTGGCGCCTTTTTCCTGCCAGATGCCTGAGGTTTTCTCTGATACTTATTAAGAGAACCTGGTCAGTCTCCTGGAGGTAACTCTTGCCAAATTGTGGAGGCCCCTCTATGACTGGGTTCGCTGCGTTTTTTACTCTCAAAGTTGTCCACAGTGGGCTTCCGTAAATCCGTCAATTACAGTTCAGGTTCTCCAGGTTTTCCTGCGTCCACGCTAGTTCTTGTGGAAGCATCTGTTCTTGTGGGCGTTTCAGTGATTTTCAGCTCAGGTAAGTTGTAATTCTTAGTATTTCTGTATTTCCAATTTGCGAGCAATGGTTTGTCTTGCAACCTCCTCGCTCTGAGGGATCTAAGAAGATTTGCTTTTTCAAGTTTTCGGCTGTTTAAACGTTGTTAGGTTGTAGTGAAAGCTTGTAAGCTTCTTACACGCCGAGCAGAAACTGAGAGTCCTGTTAATAACCTTCTGATAATACCTGACTCAGACAGCCCTTGCCAGCTACAGATTTATGAATTTAAATATAAGAGCCATCTTTCTTAGATTTTTGAAAAGTGTTTTCCCACTTATTTTTATTTTTTCTGGTTCCAGAGCTATGTAAGCTTTTTTTAAAATTAACGTATAAATAATTTCGAATATTAATTTCAGGTGTACACCATAGCGATTCAGTATATTTACAGATTATACTACATTAAAGTTACTACTAGATAATGACTGTAGTTTCCTGGTCTATATAATATACCCTTGTTGATTACCTGCTCTCAACTTGGGCTGGGGAGTGGGGCAGCTGCTAAAGCAGACTTCTTTCCATACTGTCTTGGGGGCGTGTGTGTGTGTGTGTGTGTGTGTGTGCGTGCGTGCGCGCGTGTGCGTGTGCACGCTTCTCATGAGCAGAATTCAGGCTTCTTCAGCCTTTCTGTCTGTCCTGGTGGTCCTCTGTTACCTGGAAGAGAGGAATATAAGTTAACTCAGTTCTTTGGTCACCCTGAAAAAAGTGAATTTTTAACCAGAAAACGTGATATGAACAAGATTTTATTAGTGAAGGAAAAAGGTAGTAAAATATGGTACACTCCCAACAATTGGGAGCCGGCCAACCCAGGAGAGGAGAGATGGCGCCGTTCCCTTGGTTCTCCTGGCTTAAGGGCTTTTTTGTGTGTGATTGATTCACGGATCAGTTCCTGGTGCTCAGGCACGCCCAGCCCTTTTGCACATGTTCTTACCCATGACGCACACAGAAAAACCTATAGGAGGGGACTTAAACTGCAATGTTAATTACATTGTAATGAGCATTGGGTCAGGTTAAGCTACTGCACAGCAGCAGCGTTCAGTCCTAGCCGGCATCTTTTGCTGGCCCTCATTTAGAGAAAGTAGAAATTTTGGATCCCCTTGCCGAAGCACAGGTGTACTGCTGTTTTCTGGATTGCTCCTTTCCACATTGCCTCCCCCTGCCTGGTGCTCATTTCTGCCTAACAAGAGTCAAGTGTGCTTGTCTTTTCTGAGTAAGACCCCAGGACTGTGATGCCCAGTCCGGGACTCCACCCGCTCACTCCCCAGGGTGGTTGTGTGCCCCTGCAGCCTCTCTCTTCTTCTGAGTTCCCTCCCAGGGGTGCAGATCCTGGCTGGATCTCTTTGCCTCCCTTCCTAATGGATTACATGTGTGTCTTTCTTACAGCCTTGGTTGTACAGGAGTCCTTCTGCTGGTTTCCCATTAGTTTGACGTGTTCCACATGTCGATGTATTTTTGATGTTTTCATGTGATAATGTGGGCTCCACGTTCTCTTACTCTACCATATTGATCTCTTCCTCTTCATTTATTCTGTTCTCTTCATGAGAACTACATATAATCTGTATTTTAAAGAATCGTATTGTCTTTCTTGGGTCTCTTAATGTCTTGAACAATTTTATTTTCTTTCCCTTAATATTCAGCCTCTCAAATATCCCCTCAAAATGATTTATTTTTATGAAATTTTAATCCTGTTTATTTCTAATGCCTTCAATTGTATGACTTCAGACTTTAAAAAGTAATATGTCAGCTTATTTTTCACCTCAGATACAATTTTATTTCATCTTTCTTTTCTTGTTACATTGTTTTGCTTTTTTCCCTTCAGATTGTAAACCACTTGGTGCCTAAAAATTACTTGTTTTGTATAGTAAATGTTCTTCTAAAGTGCATTCTTTATGTCTTACAGATATGTTCTTGTACGTTGCAGAATACTTACGTGGCATACATATTGTTTTTCTATTTGTCTTTGAATGAATGCAAAGTATTCAAGACTCTTTCCCCTCAATTCCACCTAAAAATAAGTGGGATTTCTTTCCTACAGTTTTTATGTCTCTATTTGAGGCACTTCTATTAGAATCTTTAAATTTTTTTATTTTTATTTTATTATTTTTTTAGTACTGAACCTGGAAGCGATACTGTTCATGTGATCTACAATCAGGCATTCAAAAAGGATTAAGGAAAGGGGAGGACAGCTGAGACTAGAAGTCGTCTTAAAAAGTTTAAATCACTGCCAGAATGTGCTTCTTAAATGAATTTCTGCTGACTCTGCTTTTTCTTCCAAGAAAATAATACTGCTGTGCCCAGTACCTTTCATGGAACATCTGACTGAAAAATTGGCAGAATACACGTTTCTCATTTAGGCAGAGAATCATTTTATTTTAGAGAAATTCTTTCATCTTCATTGAACCAGCTACATACTGCTAAGTGGTGTCAGAGATTGATTTTTGCTGGTTTTGCTCTGTGTATGCTGATGTATCTAATTGTTACTTGTTTTATATAATAAAAACCGCTTAAAGCAAGGTTATCTTTGTCACTTTTATGGAAAACTTTCATATCTACTCTCATTTCTTCAAATTTAGGTTCAGCTATTCTACAGCTCTGGAAAATGTTCTCCACTTTGGAAAAGCCTCATGATACTTTGGAAACCTATGCCGAGGAAAATTCTTATAAGCTTCAAGACTGATGCGGCCACTGGTGAGTTTTTTCAAATTTAATATAATGCTGTTTATTGATGATTCCAAATGGTATTTCCAAATAATTGAGCCCACTTTATCTGGCATCACGGCACCTTCTACACTTTGATAAGAGGAAGTAAAATTTCCTGCATTTATTTCTCTCAAAAATGAAACTTTCTTGAGAATGGAGCTACAATTTAATTACTGGTGAGTATAAAATCTATTTCCTTTGTAATACATATAGCGTATTTGTGGTATTTGATGTTATATAGTATTTGGTTTGATATTCAGAAATGTAAAATTGTCAAGGTTCAGTTTCAAAAAATGTGGACTTCTGTATTGTAAAAAAAATATAACGTTTGGTTTATTGACAACCACTTTTAAGTATACACTTCATTAATGTTAATTATATTTACATTGTTGTGCAACAGATCTCTAGAACTTTTTCATCTTGAAAAACTGAAACTTGATACCCACTGAAGACTAATTCTCCCTCCCGCTACCACCGGTCCTTCACAGTTATCTTTCTGCTTTGTGTTCCTATGATTTTGATTACTGTAGATACTTTCTGTGAGTAGAATCACATGGTATTTGTGCTTTCATGACTGGCTTGTTTTGCTTAGCATAATGACCTTGAGGTTCATCCATGTTTTAGCATGTGACAGGATTTCACTTTATTTGAAGGCTATATAACATTCCATTATATGTGTTTATTGCATTTTATTTGTTCATTCATATATTGATGGATATTTGGGGAGCTTTTACCTCTTTGCTCTTATAAATAATGCTGCACTGAACAGGAGTGTTCAGATAGCTCTTAGAGACCCTGCTTTGAGTTATTTTGGATATAAACCCAGAAGTAAAATTGCTAGGTGGCAGTTCTACTTTTAATTTTTTGAGGAACTTCTACACTATTTTCCATACTGGCTGTACCATTTCATCCCCACCAACACAGCACAGGGTTCCAATTTCTCCACATTTGTGTCAACATTCATTTCCTGCACTTTTGATAGTGGCTATCCTAATGGCTTTGAGATGCTATTTCATTGTGGTTGTGATTTGGATTTGTCTTATGATTAGTGATGATTATCTTTTCAAATTCTCTTAGCTGTTTATATATCTCTAGAGAATTGTTTATTCATGTTATTTGCCCATTTTAATCAAGTTATCTGGTTTTGGTTGTTTTATAGATGGGTCTTATATATTTTGGATGAATAAGAATATTTTAGATGTTTTAAACACAAAAAATGGTTTTAAAAATTTTTGGTTAGGTTTAAGAAAAATATATTTAGGTTGTGTTTTCAAAACTTCAGTGTAGAACAGAGTCACAGTGGGAGCTAATGTTCTTCTTTGATTAAGAAAACTAGAAACCTGCCACTTCAAATGCCAGCTCTAGAGCCATGCTGTGCCATACCAACAAAATAAGGAAGCCACAGCAAGATCAGAAAACTTAAAAGGCTATTCTCAGAAAACCCCCATGATCAGGAAGCCACTGTTTCAAATGCAGCTTGCAGAAACACCTGCAAAAAAATCACTACACAATTCTCATTAATACTCATGGATCAAGTGACCACACATTAATATCTCTGTAATGTTGCCACAGAAAACCAGACACCCCTGTGATGGTCTTTGCTAGCAGAAACAAAAGAAACAGCAAAAATAACCCACACATCCCATTAGCCATGCAAATGTTTTGGCAGTGTATCTGATTGGCAGAACCAAAATTACATCCAGAGCTGTAGCTGCAAGAGTTTCTGGAAAATGCAGAATTCTAGCCTCTGCAATATATGAAAACACTCCAGAAATAAATTGAAATGGCTATTGAGCTCCAATCCCTTATATCTACCTCCAACTAAAATAATGGATTTTTTTTCTTTTTCCCCTTTGTTATTTTGGTAAGAGTGAGAGGATATGTTAAAAGCCTTTATTTATTAAAAATAATTCCAGTCCAATTTTCCTGAAATTCAAATCTGATTATGTCATTCTTATGCTCAGAACATTAGGACAGGTTAGTACAAAATAGGAATTATTTATTATAATTATGTTTTGTTTATTCTTTATTTGACACTTCACAGATATTCCTACTTGCTGGCTTGCATATTGGGCCTTTGGCAATGAAACAAGGGTGACTTTTGTGACCCTATTCTAAGTGATTTTAGCATATAAGTATATGCCAGCTGCAGGCAACTGTACTTTCATCATGAACCATGATAATTAATCCAGGTTACAGGTGTTAGTCTGAGTATAGCATGAGGATATACTGGTAGAAGTAAGGATTACTTGTAGTATAAAAGAAAGAAGGAATTGGAGGTAGAAGTAGCTGGCTCCTGGGAACATTGAACTGTACAGTAAAATAAGAGCTGTTTTATACATAAATGAAGAGATAAGATAGCCTGACTATTAATTGTCCAGAAATCAAATATACAAAACCATATTTAGTCTGTATGTAATATGTAAACATTTGTTAAAAAATTGTTTTCTCAAAAGGTGATATATTGGAATTGATACATTTCTTATCAATTAAAATGTTTGTTACACATTAGTGAAAATGTCACTCCATCTTAATCCTAAAATCCAGACTCTTCTGTCCAGGTAATTTAGTCAAATTTTAAAAAATCGAATTTAAAGGTAGAAATATTGATGGGGTAAGCTTAGGAACCAAGTTTTCACTTTCAATAAAATGAAAACTTAAAAACATTTATAATCCTGTTGTAAACTGTTACAGAGAATTTCTTTTAAAATAGCTCATGACAGGACTATTGAAGTTATTATAGTCTGATTATTAATCTGATTTGAGATGCTATTACAGATTAAAATCTAAAGAAAAGCAGTTTTCAAGAGGAATTTCAATGTGTTCCAACATGCCCTTAGGAGTCATAAAAATATATCACATGAAAAGCATATCACACTTTTCTTCTTGAGGAACTATAGATTTTAATCAATCCCCAGTTACCAGTGAAGGTTGTTCATTCATTGATTTACATATATTTGCTTAATGCTACTGTGTGCCAGGCATATAGTTAGAAGCATTCATTTGTAAAAAGAACTAAACAAGCAAAAAAATCTTTCCACTAATGCTTATATTCTAGTGGATGCAGATAGACAATAAACAAAATAAATAAGCATAATAAAATAATATATCACACTGTAAAAGTCAATGTGCTTGGAGGAAATAATGGGGAGATGTGATCAGAGAGGAAAGGGAGGATAAAATCAAGTACAGCCTTGTAAGCTGTCGTAAGGATCTAGTTATTCTTTTAAGTCTTTGGGTGCTTTAAAGAAAAAAAAATAACATGATCAGGGAGATTATAAGGGACAAGAGTAAGAGTGGAGGGACAGATTCAGATGCTGTTATAATAACCTTAGTGAGAAGTGGTTATGGTGCCAGAACATGGAGGTGAAAAGAAGTAGAAGAATGGTGAGAGCTATGCTTTTAAATACTCAGGAAATGGGTGAGAATTCATGCACATGGTTTCAGCTAGAGGCAGGGATGTTTCATCTATAATAAAAGGAGAGAAGAGAGAGTATATATAGTTAGGTGATGCTGGGACTTACAGATGTTCTATTCTTAGGATTTTTTTTTCTCAAAATGGTAGCAGACTCACCAGCTGTGAATGAGAAAAGTGAATATATCAGGGAAATACTGTATGACTGCCATGCAATTCTACAGATTGTGTACTTGACATTGATAGTAATGCACTTAAAATGCAAAGAGGGAGCATACTTGTGTTATTCTCTGGCCATATTTAGTTATATACGTGTAGAATCAAGGGAGGCAGAGATTTGGATTTAACTAGAGTTGGTGTTTTGCCAAAGTGAGTACAAAATATGAAATGGTGACAAGAGAGGATATAGAGTATGGGGAAGGGAATATGGAAGGGAATAATTTTATTGATGGAATATGGAATCAAAACTTGGGCAGGAAATAATGATCATATAAGTTTGGTGAGGTATGGTAAAAATGGTAGTCAGATGAATAGATTGTAGGTCCTAGTAGGTGTGAAGGAATTATTGGGGTTCCAATACTAAAGAGAGTGAGCTAAAGTTACAGACAGTAACTAATAGTAAGTGGTATGCATGAAACTGATATTAGGAAGGAGTTGTGTTTGTTTATAATGACCAGATGCAGAGCACAAGCATGGAAGTGAAAGGCAGATACAGGGCGGAGGAAAAGTTCATAGGAGGAGGAGCTGAGAGGAGCCTAGAGAATGGGTCGTAAAAGGATCCTATTTATAGATAATGAAATGACTAAGAAACATAATAAGAGTAGTGATGGAAGACATGGCAGTAAAGAGTAACTTAAATCTTTAAAAAATAGAAGTCACCTCTATGGGCAATGACTACAATTTTTCAATTGCCTATGATTCAAAGATAAATGGTTTTAAGTAAGGGAAGTAAGAAAGTGGCCCGGAAGAATGACACAGAAAGAAGAGGACACCAAAAATGGTACTGAGAGTGCGAGAGGGAAAAAAGGCATTACCACTGAGCACCCTGCTAGGCAAGCAGCCACTCTTTTTTTCTTCTGTGAAGATGGACATACCCATGGGGATTGGCCGCCTCTATGCTAATGACTTCGAAGATAATTTGTGTAATTTTTCCTCTGCTTGCATGGTTAAAGAAATGCACTGGGCAGGAATATATACTGGTGGGGTTTTAACATTCAGGATAGTTCTAATTCACCTCCCTCAAATTAACTCTATAAATAAGTT